AAAAATTGGGCTCTGCGGCATATTAGCCTACAAATTATTTTTCCGCGTGAGAAATACAATGTGTGGCGGGAGTGCGTGACAAAAAACTGAAAAGAGTGACTATCACTCTCAATGCGTGACACTTGAGAGCCCTGATAATGCATGTTCTGTGACATTAACAGCAACTGATCTTGCCAATGTCATACGTCTGTCACCAAGGTGAAATCAATTTTAGGTTGGATATTCGACGGATATTCAGATCCACACTCTCCTGACTTAGTGGCGGTGCTTCACTCACGCTAGTTGGCATAAGCCTCGTGGGTAGACTTTGCCGGGCAGTTCTGTTAACCCTGTACTTTTGTTTCTTCCCACAAGGATGTGATCGATCTCCTTTGCTGCAACACCACTATTGGAGTACCAAGTCCAACGATGCGGCTCAGGGCAGCAGAACCAGAATCAGGTGATCCGCAAGTCAAGGTACATAGAGCTACTTTCACCCTGGAGACCCATGGAGACCGACACAGTCCTCATAGCCAGCCCTGCCAGTGCCAGTGGTTGCATTGAAGTCACCCATGACCAGGGGAGTGTCACCTCATGGGCACCCATCAACCACCGAGCGAAGTTGTGAATAAAATGTCTTCCTCATTGAGACATCACTCACCACGGTTGGTGCAACACTGATAGCCCTTTCACACCAGGGCTAGTGCCCGTGCTGAGCCTAAATTCCGGCCCGTGCATTGCATTCATACCAAAAATAACAGCGATGCGGGGCGATATATCCTGGAGCTCATTTTTCCGGCCCCACAAGACTGTCGGGCCAGAGTTGGGAGCGTGTGACATCAGGGGGCAGGATTACAAAGCAATGTAGAGTGAATTGGAGAAGGCAGCGGTTGTGGGAATACCATTGCAAGTATGAACAAGGTTTTTTCAAAATGAAAAAGTATACAATAAGTCGAAAAGAGCTAAATAAAAATGGTGCTGGCTGCCCTAAAAACAAATATCATGACCTGCTAACCAGGTAACTGGAGCATTGATCTCCACAACCGCTTTGTAGGAATTGGGTAAGTTGTTATTGTTGTGTTTCTTGTGTATCTTTCTTGAAATGTCAATGAATCCAGTGAAATTTACTTATCGTGTCTTTCGTGTTCTTATATTAACACAGGTGAAGAGAATGCAGATGGACAGGAGCATCACTTCTCACATTTATTCCACGTGAAAGATTTACATATTTCTTGATTATTTATATATTTGTAAAATAAAAGTTTACAAAAGTTTAGTTATTTTCTTGTCTTCACACTCCCTGTTAAAATAGTCCATTAATGCATATTGCGCAGTACTTCCTTTAGCGTGCCATACTTTTTTATGTGCATTTGCACTGATTTGACAAGAAAATACTATGCATTTTAACCTTTATATGGTAATTCGTACTTCATTTGCAGTATAAAGGTTAAACTGCACGGTAATTTCTTGTCAATAGTACAGCAGTTACCAGTCACATCAAATCTACCATTTACAACACAGCTTCTTATTTCCTAATATAATAAAGTTGTTCTAGCAATCTGTTGCAATTGATCACTATGAGCAGATGATCATTATAACCGATTTTTTTCTTCTTTATGCTTCAGGCAGATTACCATCTACCTGACATGTATTTTTCTTACATGAATATAAGGTAATAAAACGGACAGTGTCACTACTTAATTTTGAATTCAAAATACAGTTCAACCTTTTCAAACACATTTCAAATTACAGTACTGCACAAATTAAATTACTGAACTGTGTATGATTCAAATTGACTGTAAGACAGTACAGGGCAGGTTGGGAAGCATGCGCTAATGCAGCACGTTACTGCGCCTGCCGCATGGCGAAACTCCTCGGGATCCTGGCCGGCGATCCCCCAGGCAGATACACGGTCCAGTCCCACCCTCCGTAAAGTGCCATCCATCTGCCGCAGACAGGTGTTATGTGAGAGTCCCCTTGGCCTGGTCCAGCCATTTTGTTCCTCAGCAATGAGGATCCTGTGAGCTGGATCACCCTCAGGAAAACGTGCCATATGGCCGTAGTGCAGTAACTGATGCTCCCTCACAATGCAAGTAAAGTGCCTCATTCGGGACTCCTTTAGCAACCACTCATTCGACACAAAGTCATACCAGAGGTACCCAAGGATTCTCTGAAGAGACACAGTACCGACGGAGTCCAGTCTTTGTCTCAGCTCACTGGTTAGCGTCCATGTCTCACAAGACAGGGAGCACCAGGACTCTAAAGACTTGGACCTTTGTCCTCTTGCAAAGACATCAGGAGCGCCACACACCTCGTTCCAGTGACCTCATGACCCCCCATGCTCTTCCAATCCGTCTGTTGACTTCATAGGAAGAGTCACCAGAGACATGAATGTCGCTGCCGAGGAAAGTGAATCTCTCTACAAGGTCAATATTTTCCCCACAGACAGACACACTACTGATGGCTGTGCCTACGAAGTTATTAAAGGCCTGGATATTGGTCTTTATCCAGGACACCCGCAATCCCAGACACTCAGACTCCTCACTCTCGTTTCTCGAGAGCCCCAATCAAAGCCTCCATTGACTCTGCTAAGATCACCGCATTGTCGGCACAGTCAAGATCAGTCCCACAGCTGCTGGACCCCACGACCCTGCCCAAAACCCAGTCCATACAAGCATTTTACAGAGTAGGAGCAAGAACACACCCCTGGCGAACCCCAGAATCAACTGGGAAGAACGCAGAGGTTCTCCCCCCACTCTGTACAACACAGTATCAGTGTACAGGCCGGCCATGATGTCCAGCAACTTCGGGGGGATCCTGCAAAGTCTCAGGATGTCCCACAGGGCAGCTTTATCAACTGAGTTGAACGCTTTACAAAATTGACAAAGGCTGCAAAGAACCTCTTGCGCTCGATGAGAACCCTCAGTGCAAGGATATGGTCGATGGTACACTTCTTAGGCATAAGACCAGACTGCTCTGGTCGCTGACAGGCAAGCAAGTGATCACGGATCCTGTTAAGGATGACCCTAGCAAGGACCTTACCCGGCACTGAAAGCAGTGTTATTCCCTTGCAGTTGCCGCAATCCAGGTGATCACCCTTCCCTTACAAATATGAACTACAAGTCCCATTTTCCAGTCAGTTGGGATGACTACTGACTCCCAAATGGAAGCAAAGACAGTACTGTACATAAAGTATTATTGTATTATTATAATATATTTTTATATTACATAATATTATTATTATTATTGTTATTGTTATTATATTATTGTAGTTTCATTTTGGTTTTACCATAAGTTTTGATAAGTCTATATTTATCATTGAGAGAAAATGACTTTCTCCTTCCCGTCATGTTTTCTGTGCATGCCGCATTAGCCTCAGGTAGCTAGCCAGAAGCAGACTGGTTATCGCAAGACAAAGTAGGGTGATCAAAGTAAAGTAAAAGAAAAACACAAAACACTGTAGTTTTAATTTTTGCCATATGTTGTCATGTTTAAAAATAACAAAAATGAACGCTGTAAGCGGACTACTTGACTACTATAAGCAAATTATTTAAACAGTATTTGTCTGGGAATGATTCTGTCCCAAGCTTTTTGATCCATACAAATGGTTGATCGCTATAACCGTGATCAGTATAAATGGTCTCCACTGTAACTTTACTTTTCACCTGTAAATTATCACCGTTGGTTCCATTGAAAAGTATGGCCGAAAAATGTGTCCTCCGGAAACACTTCTGTTGTGTTGTGGCTATTTGCAGTGCGTTTCCGAAGTTGCAGTTGTTTTCTGTATTTGCACCACGTCTGTGAATGTGCAACGCATTTGTAAAATGTGGTTCGCATGTGTTGTCATTTTGATGAAAGTATTTTTTGAATTTGTGTAGCGTCTATGAATTTTCAATATGTTTGCACGTGCGTTAAGTATATGTGTATACATATTCAACAGATTCTTTACTGTTAAACAGGTACAACATGCAGTGAAATGTATCCTGAACCGCTATTTTGACTGTGCAACATTAGAATAATTTAGGAAGGAATAATTAAGCTAGAATACAATTACAAGAGATATAAAAAAATGAAATAAAATTTAAAAAATAGGACTTTGAATATAATACAGATTGAAACAGATTTACAGATGTGCAATATGTAGTTAAAGTTAAAGTGCATTGTGCAATGACAACATAACAGTGTAACAGTAAGAAACCTGAGTGACATTTTAGCAGCATGAACAGTGCAGTAATAATGATTGAGACAATATGGAGTTATGACAATGAGACCCTGAGAAGGTTGCTGTCCAGTGATCATTAACAAAATACTATACTATAATAATATACTATAATACTTTAATATATAAAGTACTATAATATAATTTTCCAGTCTTTGGTGGGGTTCCCCACCCCTGCATAAATTTTGCCAGCTAGGTAGACTTTGCATGATTGTAGGTTATTGAAAATGGCCACATTCAACCATTCTGGTACGTGCCTAAATAACAGAACTTACAGATATAGGATTTTTACTGCTTACTGGCTATATCTTCCATTCTTCACTATTCATCAAATAACACGATTAAAGTTCACAATAGACCATGCCAAACTAAAGTGCAGACGCTTTATATCTTTCTTCTTCTTCTTCTTCTTCTTATTATTATTATTATTAATAATAATAATAATTGTTGTTGTTGTTGTTGTTGTTGGCTTGGGAGTTCTGTTTCACGTATTACGAGTGATAAAGCTCCAGGCGCTCCTGCATCAGAAAACTCCACACCCCACAATCCCTAAATGACGGCGTACGGCGGCGGCGACCTCTGAGCCGGATCCTGAGGTTCCTTCGCGACGAGGACAGGGGATACAGGGGATCACGGACCGAAAATGCTTTGGCTTTTGGCTGGATGAGAGGTTTGTTAAGTCGGGCGTCTTCACCAAGAGACCACTGCCTGCAGCAAAAGGTTTCTGCGCTGAAGCCTTCTGAGTCGGGGAAGGACGGGCTAAGCTAATGTGGCAGCCAGAGAGCCGGAAAGTCGTGCTTTACGTGAATAAAGCGTATCACTCAGCGCAATCGGACTTGCAGTGATTTGCAGGGACACGATCATTTCCTCCTTAAAATGAAAAGCTGAGAGTAACTGCTCGGTGACCTTTCATTTTTATTGCTGTCTTGGTTACAAACTTTGTCTGAAATTCCGTACACATCACTGTGGTTCTTATTAGGAGGACGTGACTGAATGAAAGATACACGAATGAGCATCTATAAGGTCGTTAGTTATCGCAGTGCACCTACAACTGCGAAATAGATGTCTGTAAATAGAACTGTAGTTAATAGCTTAGATAGATTTATACGATATTATAGTAGTTAAAACTGTTGGTCTCTATTACACATAATTTATTTACTGCACAGAGGTGCCCCGTGTAATAGTAGGGACAGTAGGTAAACCACATAGGACTAAATAATATTTTTATAAAAGGTAATTCTTTAACTCTTTACTGGACTGAAGGTGGCCATGACACTGCTTGATGACCATTATCTCTTCTTGTGCAGGTACTTTAAGCTGCCAGCTGGAGGAATGGCGGCTGACGTCCACAATAAGGGTGTGCCCTGGGAGAGCCAGAATGGGGTCCTTGCCCCCGTGGATCGCCTTCGCCAAGATCGGTCTGACAGCCCCACTCCAGGCCTGGTTGAGGGGACAGAACCCGGTACAGCTTGATTTTCCTGATTTTATTTATTTGGTTGCTTGCAAAACTTGGCGGCATGGTGGTGCAGTGGTTAGCACTGTTGCCTCACACCTCTGGGACCTGGGTTCGAGTCTCTGTCACATGTGTGTGGAGTTTGCATGTTCTCCCCGTGTCGTCATGGGGTTTCCTCCGGTTACTCCGGTTTCCCCCCACAGTCCAAAGACATGCTGAGGCTGATTGGAGTTTCTAAATTGCCCGTAGGTGTGCTTGTGTGAGTGAATGGTGTATGATATATGGTGTGTGCCCTGTGATGGGCTGGCCCCCTGTCCCGGGTTGTTCCCTGCCTCGTGCCCATTGCTTCCGGGATAGGCTCCAGTCGGATAAGCGGGTTGGGAAATGGATGGATGGAAGTTCTGCAAAACCATTTATACTGTGTTTAGGTCAGGTGGACAAGTCATGTGATGTGATGTGATGTGATGTGACACTCTATCACTTGGCTTGGTGTGTTTGGTACTGTACTCCGAAGTAGGGTGTCTATGATAGTGTTTTTCAACCCAGTGCTCTGGGACCGCAGACAGTAAACATTTTTGCTACCAGCCAGCTCTCAACATACCTGTATCAGGTATTTGGTGTCCTTGATTGGCTGGGTGCTTGGAGGGAGCAAAAATGTGGACTGTTTGGGGGGCCCCCTGGGGACTAGGTGAAGAAACACAGGTCTATGGTATAATTGCACAAGAATATTGCTGATAAGGATTTGTTTTATTGTGCATGGGTAGGGTCATGTGTACTCACTGGTTTGCTATTACTAACAGGAGGCCTGGAGTGGGTTTAAAGAGAGACCTGTCATTGCTACTTGTCCCAGTGAGTCAGCAGGTAGAGCTGGGTGTGGCACTTCTATAGTCCTTTTTAAAAAAGCATTGCCACATGTAATCCTATTAATTTAGTCCTGAAATCACAAATGACAACATTAAGCTCTACCAAGGTATATTCAGTTTTAATGTGTGTGTGATTAGGATCTTTTGTATTCTGGTGTTTTAATGTGGTTCTAGAGCAAAGGTTATGGGTATATCCAGACATACTGCCCTTTGTGCTGTCATTAGTCACTCTGCGTGTCTGCACTGATAGGATATGATAAGATGAGAAGCAGGTACAGTCAGAGAGGCTTATTGCTTCTGTGCCAGATGATGTCTGCTTTCCAGTGTTTGGAGTGAGAACCATGTTCACTGTGACTGAGAGGCTTGTATTCAATGTGTGGGTTCCTTATAGCGTTCTACTTACCAAGCAGAACACACAGTTCTCCTGTAGGTTGTCAATCTAGATGGACTTTGTTTGTTTTTGAATCCCCATGAGTTGCTGTTTCGTCCTTCATCAGTTTCAGTAGGTAACAGGAATGCAGTACACAGTAGTAGCTAGTTGAATAGAAGTGCTAATTAGTTGGATGCTTTAATGAACTACCCAAATTGTGCTATCCAGCTCCTAAATAAACTCACGTAGCACCTCAATAATCCCATCACCCAGGTGTAATTCATTCACCCAGGGATGGTTCTCCTTTCCGTCTGTTGAAACTTAGGGTTGAGTATGGAAATCCGGTGTCAAGATGGCACTCACTGATTCCTATATGATTGATATGTACCAGACCGGACACATTTCAGTGCCTTATTTCAGTGCCACATAAATGCCTGAGCTGTTCATTGAAGTATTTGCCCTCTGATGCTCAGACAACAGAAGCTTTGCCGCACCTCATGTGCCATCGCTAGTTAACATTACACTTGCTCTGATGTTAGCAGATGCCTTAAACATGTTTATAATGCCTAAATATAGATAGTCTAAAGTTATTCAATCAAAAAGATTCCAACACCTGTGACCTGTACTAAACTGTGGTACCTTAAATCCGAAAAGTTACCCCGATAAGCCAATAACCCCGCTTCGTAATACAGGAGACGAGATGTTATGTAAATTTAAGTGTTTTGTGATTGTGTTTATAATTTAAACATTTTGTGTTTATATATTTAAGGTTTTAAGTTAATATAGGCTGCTTGTTCAGTTTTAAGTTCAAATGTGCCTGAGAAATAAAAAGAGTTCTTTAATGTCGCCAGCCTTCGTATTGTGCTTTTTTTCTTAAAAGTACCAGTTTAGGCACTGTTTTGATACTATCACTGTTATAAAAGTGTCATTTTAGCACCGGTATTGAAAACAACTGGAACGATATCCAACTCTATTGACATTTCTCCCCATTTGCACTATGTCCGCAAATTTGTACTACAGTAAGCAATTGTTTTTTCTTTTGCACTGGTTCAGGCTGTTGGTCTGTTCTGCATCTTTGCACAAATATGCACCATTGCTCTAAGCATATTGTTTCTCTTGTACTTTGCAGTCAGTCAGGTTGAAGAAGTCCTTAGTCATCTCACATTGTTCTCGTAATCATGTATTTGTTTTAAGACATTTTTGCACTGTTTTCCTGAATTTTTTATATTTGCAATATCCACTGTGTTCTTTCCTTTTGTGAATATTGTCAATCGCAGTGTTTCTACTAAGTGTCTTGTAATATTGTCCTGTACTTCATGTTTGGCACCGAACCACAACCAATTCTGGTATTTTTACATATCCTCCTGAGACCCAAGGAAAAAAGTGTCCTTCAAGTTTAGGTTATGTGTCTTTGGAGGAAATAAGACAACTTACAATTTAGATTTTTTCAAATTTATTTTTATTTTTAATTTCACAGCATGTCCAGGAACAAATTTGCTTCCTTACATCAGTGAAAAGATAGATGCAAAAACAAAATGTCCACTACAATGGACATAAATGTATGGGTGGGGTCTCAGGAGGATAAACCTGGAAATAAAGTTTGAATTCTGGTGTTGTACAGGTGAGCTTTGAGTAATTCCGGCATCTTTGGATTTAATACATGTTGCTGCTTCTTGCAATGACTGGCTTTATAAAGTGTAGAAATTACAAAACAAACCTTTAGTTCTTCAGATAAGCTGAACACAGCATTCAGACTGTAATGTGGTGTTTGATTTCATTTTGTAGGTGCTGGACAGGACAGTGCCATGTTCGTCCATGCACAGTCCTTCGAGGACCTGATGGCTGACGGCGAGGATGTTCAGGCCACGTCTGTGGGATCTGAAGGCGACCAGGAGCCAGAAGTGCTGGAGGAGCTGGGTGACCAAGGTCAGCAGACAAAGGAGGATCAGCAGGAGATACGGCCGGGAGTCAGGACCAAGGAGGAGGATGTGACCAGCGAATCGTGGCGGCAGCACAGGAAACACGTGTTTGTGCTGAGTGAGGCGGGGAAGCCCATCTATTCCCGCTATGGCACAGAGGAGGCGCTCTCGAGTACCATGGGGGTAATGATGGCGCTTGTCTCCTTTGTGGAGGCAGAGAAGGACATCATCGGGTCCATCCATGGAGGTGAGGATGGAAGCAGGTCCAGGTGTCACATGTACAAAGTCAATGAACTGTCCCAATTTATAATGAGAATCCAGATTGACCAGTGCTGTTGTTGCATATGTGATCGTTAAAGCAGTCAAGTTACATTTCAGTTTTTCCATATTCAGTACAGGCACATGATGAGTCAAAAGTACAAAATCATTCAGTACAAAAAACTGATTCTGAATGGGGATAAACAGGGTAAGAAGGTAAAGCACATTTACACATGCAAACTTTGGGAATTTTTGAAAGGCAGTGCAGCTTTTTAAAAATCAGCACCTATTCAATGAGTCATTGAAGTACAAGTCCTGAGCAGTTGTAGTTTGTGTGTATGTATGCATGTATCCGCAGGCCAGTGAGTGTGTCTCAGAATCCGTATTTGTTACACAACAGAGTGAATCAAACTGCAGACAGAAATGTGGGATAGGTAGCCAATGGCAATGGTAATTTTTTCCATCTGATAAAATGGTAATACGGAATTGGACTTCACCCAGAAGTTACTCTGAATATAAGGCCTAACCTGATTACTACACTGGTAATAAAATGAACTGCAGTATGTTGCAGCTGCAGACAAAAGGCCAGCTGTAGTCGGCTAATGATCACCTTTTGGTTTCCCACGTAATGCAGTCAAACAGATCTCATTATTAATGTTTCATAGGCCTACATTCTGTGTCCTCTAACATGTCAAGGAGCCTCCCAGCTGCCTTTGTTTCCTGTCTGTGCTGTTTCTTCAGATGGCTACAAAGTGGTGTTTCTGCGCAAGAGTCCCCTGGTCCTGGTGGGCGTGGCTCAAACCCGCCAGTCGGAGCGAGAGCTGTCTCGCGAGCTGCACTACATCTACTACCAGATAATCAGCCTGCTCACCCTGACTCAGCTCAACCACGTCTTCCGGCACAAGCAGAACTATGATCTGCGTCGTCTGCTGGCCGGCTCAGAGCACCTCACCGACAGCCTGCTCCGGCACCTGGACCGTGACCCGGGCTTCTTGCTGAGCGCCGTCACCTGCCTGCCCCTGACCAGTTCCACCCGGGATGTCATCTCCTCCAGCCTGCAGGCCTCCAGGGCCAAGAGCCTGGTCTTCTCCATCCTATTGGCGGGCAGTCGTTTGGTGACGCTGGTGCGCAAAAAGGACCAATTCCTGCACCACATGGACCTGCACCTTCTCTTCAACCTGGTGGGCTCCTCCTCCTCCTTCCGCGAGGGCGAAGGCTGGACACCCATCTGTTTGCCCAAGTTCAACACCGCTGGCTTTTTCCATGCTCACATCTCCTACCTGGAACCGGCCTCAGACCTCTGCCTCATCCTGGTCTCCACCGACCGCGAGGACTTCTTCAACCTGTCTGACTGCAAGCGCCGCTTTCTCGACCGCCTCCGCCGGCGCAGTGCCTACCAGGTCCTGCAGGAGGCGCTGAAGGCCCCTACCTATTCTGTGTCCCAGGTGGGGATCCCTGAGCTGCGACACTTTGTCTACAAGTCCAAGAGCTCTGGGCTCTACACCAGGTAAGCCAAAGAAGGACAGTTTATTTGGCCCATACTGCTGTCAGTACTTGATTTTTGCCATATTGTCTCCTCATTCCTTCATCTGGTTTGTTGTGTCCCTGCTTGTACACATCAGCCCCGAGTTCCCAGTGCCATACCAGTCTGAGGAGGAGCAGGAGAGGCTGATGGAGCTCTACCAGTACCTCCACAGCCGCATGCATCACCCTACACGCCCCCTGCGATCAATCTACAGCTGCGGCGAGTCGGAGAGTCTGCTGGCCTGGGTGAGCCACCTTATTTAGTACTCGGCTCGATCCCTTATTTTGTGAGGAAGTGTTTAATTTCATCTATGCATTTAGTTTTTCTACAGTTTTCTTAGTTTCTTAGTTTTTCCTGCCAGGCTGCCTTCTCCCCTCTGTTTCTTGGTGTAGGCCAGGGGTGGGCAATCTTATCAGCAAAGGACTGGTGTATATGCAGGTTTTTGGGATAACCTTTAGGTCAGCTGTTCAAACCTAGGAATGAAGAGTCTTCAGCCAATCAGTCCTTTAATTAGTTAATCTAATGAGGCAGTTTCAGTGAAAACTTGCAAACACCGCTGCCCTTTCTGGATGAGATTGGCCACCTCTGCTGTAATCTTTAGACTCACTGTCGCGTGGCGCTGGATAGCAAGCTATGGATGATGGATCTATGAGGAATGTGTTATTTACTCCCTAAGTATTACTTCTTAATCTTTTAATATTCAAATTGAAGTGTTTATCCTGTGCAGGAATCAGTCTGGAAGCATCATGGAGGCTAAGCCAGTCCGTCACTGGACACACACTCATGCACAGTCACACACTGTCCCCAGAATCCAGGACTGATCCATATTGTGCCCCCCATTTCTCCCTAGGTGACTAGTGGCTTCGAGCTCTACCTCTGTTTCAGTCCCCTGGCAACGAAGGCCCTGGCAACGGCCGCTATCAACAAGCTGCTGAAGTGGATCAGGAAGGAGGAGGAACGTCTCTTCATTCTCAATCCCCAGACATACTGATGGGGAGCTGCCCTGAGGAAAGGCCCAGGCTGTAAATGAGGCCTACCTCTGCCCGGTAGCCTTGATTATCCCCCCAGAGTACTGCTGAATGCTGGGATTGAAGTAAAACCAAAACTGACACCCTCCCCCGAATTAAACCACTGATACTGGCTTGACTTACATGTAGGGGACTTGAATTTTTGGTGTGGCACTCTAGGACCAGATGTACAGAACCTGAGCTTTGAAAGCTGTGAGGGTGAGATCTTTTTAAGGGTATAATTGTAAGCTGTGTGAGGAACAGGCTGTGTATGATTGTCAGTTTGCTGGAAACAGATTCTCTGTAGCAATATTTTTGTTGCAATTGTAGATAATTTGATGTTTCAGTGAATAAGCAAAAGAGAAAACGACTCGCTGTGCTGTTAGTAGAAACTAACTACCTTTTTTTGCATTAGACCTGTCACTGAGTTAACATCTTAACATATCAGAATGATTCTTATTGTTCAGCAGCAAAAGCCAAATCGCAGGATTGCTTCACTGTGACGAAGGGGACCACACAGCCCGTCCGAGTGGGTTTGGGACTCCCTCGCTATGCTGTCACTGTGTGGATACATACCTTAATCTCAAAGGTATACGCTTAGCTTTGATAATGTGAAAATCCAGCAGGATCCATGTAAAAATTACCATTTTGATTTTTTTTATTACCCAAGGATAAGCGGAAGTAAATGGATGGATGGATGGGTGGACCCAAGTCAATAAGTTGAAATGCAAAAAATTTGGAGAACTAGTTTTTGAGCAGTTCGCGTTTTCCAGTGTTTCAGTTTCTACATTACAGGCTGTAACACTTGTCGCCCTTGCAGGGTGTCATTGAACTAGTCTGGGGCTCGCAGTGCGAACACTGTACTCTGCCTACTGGTCACTGCAAGTTGGGATTCAGACAAAAGCAATAATTACATTTTTGCATTGACATTTCACTTGCACAGTAAAAATGTAACACTTCACTTGAGAGGGCACAAATAATTAGTAGCAACTCAACAAATATGGTAGCTACTTAAGGTAAAAGATACGTCATAATTCATTAATGATGAACAAACATGAGATCAGTATTTCACTTGTCTTATTCATTACTTGTTCCTTCAGTAGTTCCTTAGTAATTCACAGAGGATTACAGAATTAACTGAGAAAGTAACAGATGTCGCAGCTGCTTGGGATGAAAGATGCATCATGATTCATTAATGATGAACAAACATGAGATCAGTATTTAACTTGTGTTATTCGTGACTTTTTCCTTCAGCAGTTCCTTCAATAGTTCAGAAAGGTTTACAGAATTAACAGATTTAGCAACAAATATAGTAACTGCCTGGGATAAAAGATGCGTTGCGACTCATTAATGATGAACGAACATGAGATCAGTATGTAACTATGATTTAGTTTGTGGTTAATATATAAATAATAGCATAATACTACAATATTTGTGTCCCCTTAAAATGTTACTATAAAAACAAACATTTGACAATGAGCTCAAGGAAATTAACAACACTCTGAAAAATGTGTTCCATTGTCACTGGGGTTGTACCCTTGTAATCGTACCTTTTAAAGTGTTAAAATCATCCCAAATGTACAAAAAGTATTAATGCACCATCAATGGTACAGAAATGTTCCTCAGTGTCCATTTCTGTACCTTAAAAAGTACAATTACCTGCAGCTAGGGTACAATTTTCAGACACTTGCAGCCCCAGTGACAAGCAAAGGTACAAATTTGTACCCTTCTTACTGAGAGTGAAAGGGCCGACTTCTGTCGATCTTCAAGGTTAACGTTACCATAGGCCTAGCCTAACTGTCCTGTTTGTGCTAAGGTGCTAAGATTAATTGTGTTTATGCTAAGGTGCTAAGATTAATTGGCTAGATGTTAACTACAGTTACAGTTATAATCACAAAGAGTAATTACGTCTGCATAATCAACAAGAAGAGACATACTAATATCATGCAGTCCGAGAAATCATGCAGGCTAACTACAACAGACTCCTCCTACTAGATTTGCAAGCACCATGGACACCCCCATTCAGTGGTAGAATCCATAGCGTTGAAAGAGAAGAGTGAAAGAATGGTCACATCATCACTTTCCATTTTCTGGTTTCCACTGTGAAGGTTTAGGTTGGAAAGCAACAACTTGACTTCTATTTTTAACTTGTCAATTTGGGCAATAATAAAAAGAAATTCTAAATGATAAGCGTTACACAAACCCAGCAGGTATATTTCCCATGGCTTAGATGTTCATTTTGACTGTTTCTGTTTGTTCTGTGTTTTTTTATGATTATAATTTAAAGATATTGGGCTTCAATTTGCTCATCTGTATCTGAATGCCTTTTCTTCTGGTGAATGACATTAGTGTATTTACTTATTTGATTTTTAACCATCATAGTCAGTGAGAGCGGATTGGTATCTGCACTCATACGATTTATTTTAAACTAAAGTGCAAATCTGAGCTTTGTTTGGCTACCTAAATTATTCTTTCTGCTGGACTTAATTGGGATGCAACTGGAACTATTTTCTTTGGATGCTGTAAGTCCAACTCTGTGGAGATGAAGTAAGTGATACTTCTAAAGCTTCATCTGTGCATTGCGTGGAATCGAGGCTACAGTCTCCTGATCTTTGAGATGTAGAAAGTGGAGGATTTTAATGCGTGGCGTCTGCTTAGATTTTAATGGCAGCAAATCTCCCTAATGGAAAAATGTATAAAAATATTAACCGTGTTACATTCATTATCTTAATAAATGCGGAAAAAGGTTAATTTCTTTTCACTGTGTGTTTTTCACATCAATTTATATTTCATTTGCTTATTTTACTTCAGTCTTTATCAAAATGAAACATGTAAAAATATTTTAGTTAATGTAGTTGATCCATAGTATTAGGATGATGTTATAACCCTCCAACTGCAAAACTGCTGAAGAGGGTATACCATTCTTCTACACAAGAAAATTTGTGCCATTCAGTGTTGATTCATTCTTTTTGAACAAAACAATCTTGGTCACTTCCATGCCACGATTCCTTTTATTCATTATATTTCCTTACTTGTTAAAAGTTCATCACAGAATCATACTGCTTCTGGTATGAGAAATCAGTCTCAAAGATGGACAGTTTGTATCAAAGGAGCATGCCATTGGTTGCATGATGCACTTGCATAATGCACTGCAGTGTAACTAAGCCCAAATCCAGACAAAAGGACATTCACGACATACAACATAACATGATTCTCTTGACAATAGGTTTAATTTGCTTGAAATATGTTTCCAATGCTTTGCAAAAAAAAAAAGTGCAACCAAAAAAACCTGCATTTTGTTTAGGTGATGTGTTCATCCATCAGTGTTTTTAAATGTCTTTGATCGTGCAATTTGTGAGGACCAGCTAGCAAACAGGAGGCAGACCCAGTAAAGCTGGAGAACAGGTGTTTATTATAATTGTCAGGTGCCAACAAATGCAAGAGGGAAATACAAACGCGAGGTTGAGACGGGAGTGGGAGGTCGGTAGCTGGTGAAGTCAGTCCTATGAACAGGTACGGGAGGAGGCGACGAAGGGGAAGGAGGAACGAGGGTGATGGGTCAGGAGCGCAGGGCAGGCAGGCAGGAGCAGGCAGATAGGCAGGGCAAGACAAAAGACAGAAGAACGCTTGGTAATGTTCCTGATCATGGCAACAATACTTTGCAATGCTTGCGGAGGTTCATCCGCTTTAAGTAGCAGAGTAATCATTGAGGGATTGTCTGCAGCTGTTTCGTCCCGCCTGCGTGGGCGTGAAAGAATTCATATTTGCAATTCTTTATTATCGCCCTTTTATTGTATTGTGCTGGATGTTTACATTCATGAATGAGTCTCATTCTGTGAGTGAACGATAACTTATCTTACATTTCAAGGACATTACCTGGCAATCTCTTTTACCGCGATCTGTTATAATGATGTATAGATAAATCGTTCAGCTGAGGTAATATGGGACAGCAAGATGTTTTTTTTTTTCCTTTACCGGTGGAATACGTAGATTTTATGATGTAAGTGAATGTCAGTGTAAAAGTGTTATTCAACAAAGGTTTTGTAGATTTTTTTAGACATGAGTGTAAGAGCATAGGCCAGTTTCTGACGGAACCAGCCCCATCAGCCATCGGGCCCAAACAGCATGAGGGAATACGAGGGGGGACCACCGCTGAAGAGGGCGACAGTGCCCAGTTAGGAGATACGGCAGGCCCTGCGATAGCCACCACCTACCTAGGTCCGAGCGGCAGGAGTGTCATGGCGCAGAGGTCAGGCCACCCAAGAGGCGATCCAGACTGCTGTTCCTGGAGGGGACTGGAGCAGAGAGAGGGAGAAGCTGTAGGAGCACCTCCAAGGCTAGGATGTGGAGACCACCTCTATCCTTGTGCGTCCCATTGCTTGCGGCTGGCAAAGCGACAAGTGGCCATCAGCCACCCCATGGGCCGCCCCTGCCATCCTGGTGAGGAAGAATGATGGCTGCTGGCATGTTGGTCCCCCTTCCCATCAGCCTGTGTGGCTGATTGTATAAAAATGGCCCCACCATGAGCAGGACTGTGCATGTGGATGGTGTGAAAGGCTCAGTCTGTTAATCAGTGAGGTGTGAAATCTCCATTGTCTCTTTGAAAGACATTGAGAGACCACTCTCTCCCTCTCCTCACCATGCCTGTGCCTCCATTTATTTCACCAGCTGCAATGCCACAGCACCATATCACCCCTTGACAGATCAGATTATTACGTGACACATATCATTCCCATTAATGATCCCTCAGCCCTCTACACATGCAAGGCCGCGCGCCTGATGTAATAGTCACCAACGTGTCACCTGTGAGCTATGACTAGACGAGCGCTGTGCTGTCATCATGGCTTGCTCTAGAATGAACATGAAAGGAGTATTTATCCGGTCAGCTAGTTTCATCATCGCCAGCCCCCCCCCCTCGCCAGTTGATGACCGTTACTATCGTACCAAATGCATAGCTCCCTATATTATTTTCTTTGTAAAAGCAGCTCTCACTGTAAGGAAGGTTGGAGATTCCTGGCCTGATAGAATTAGCTCCATGGTGCTCAAGACATGCACCAACCAACCTTGAGAGGTTCATCGGTGCCAATTCTCCATCTTTTTGAAGCTGAAGAAAGTGCTAAAGGTTTGGAGGACTTCATAAGTTACATCGGGATGGCATGGTACCCTTACAACCTCAAGGACTACCGACTTGTTGACATCACTTCATAGATCATTAAGATCTTTGAGAGACTGGTCACAGACTATGTGGACCCTCTGCAGTTTGCCTACTAGACACTTATAAGTGTGAATGACGTTCTTATTTACATGCTTAAAGGAGTCTACTCCCCCCTATAATCACCATAATCGGGATTACATTCTTCAGTCTCTGCCCAGTTCCATCATGTCTCCCTCACTTGGCAATGAGCTTAGGGTGGTGCAGGTGGACAGTCACATGGTGGATCATGGACTCTCCTACAGTCAGACGGCAGTTGGTGAAGCACCAAGACTGTAATGACACCACGGGTGCCCAGGGACCCGCCAAACCCCAGCGACTGGCATTCAGCACCACGCTGCCGGACAGCAACTGTGATCTCCGCATGGATGGCCGTGGTGCCGCCTGTGAGGATTGCAAACTGGATGCAGATGGCGGCCACTAATCACCGCAGAAAGGGAGCATGTCTGTCTCTCAGCATGACTTCAATCCTGTGTTGTGGGTAGCAAACTAAGAACCACCCGTTTGTTCATTCTCTTCATTCACTAGACAGTTTGGAGAACAACCGCACCTAGAATACTGCTCTCTTCCCATCCATACTGACCTGGAACCTAGGATCCACACCCATCCACTCAGGGGAAGAAATACCCCCTGACTTGGCCAACCGCAAACACCACGATGACTTCAATCTATGCCTGACTACCCTCTTCTTCTAGATCCACCCACCTTCTCACATTTGTTCCTAAATAAACACTCGATCCCTTCTTGTGGTTTTCCTCTGCAGCTCTGTCTCTCATGCCTCCTTACCCACCAAACTGGGGTCCTACAGAGAACTCTCCTGTTTCCCATTCTATTCTTCCTCAACATGAAAGACTTCAAGTAAGGCACTAGCTCAAGCCAGTTTTAGAGGTTCTCTGACAGCTCTTGATTTTCGTCCTCATCGACATTGAAGATTCTGAATACAGGAAGCTGATTCTGGATTTTGTCTTGTGAGGTTTGGTAAACTACCTGCAGCTCAACATCAGCAAGACAAAGAAGCTGCAAGCAGGACTGGAGGAAGCAGCAGAGAAGAGATTGTAGTCAGACCTTAGTCCATGTGCATCTGGACACTTATTCCCCATTGCTCCATCCTGAAGCCACCAACTCAATTCACCATAATGCTCATACAATGATCTACTGGGAATCTTTGTGCCTACTGCCATCATACGGTACAACACCTTCATTTAATGTGTCATTTAACATTGTGTGGTATTACCAAGTACATTCTCTTATGTTAATTGTACAGTATGTAGGGTCGCCATAAAGAACCAGTGATGCTGGTTTTATCTCATAATTGCAGTACCGCGTGTTGCATGTTGCTGGTGTGTGCACCTTAATTTTCCCTCGTGCATTAATAATTTAGAAATCTATCTGAAGTGTGCTTCTACCCAGACACCAGTAGCCCTCTAACAATACTAAATGAACTCCATTAATTTACAGAATAACATTACTCATTAGCCAGGGTTGTATTCACTTGAGTAAATATTTAACTAGTTTTACATCGGTGCGATATTATTTTCTGAGCGAGCAATGACTGGTTATTTACTTGACTATGCTGTTTCAACATCGTCCGAAGGCAGACTGTTCATTATGGACGTAGATTAAACATATTTGATTTCCACGTATTTCGTTATCCGTAATGCGGTGTTTGGGTTCTGATCCGCGATGGCCAGCTGCGATCAGTCTGACGGTAGTGTGATCGTTAAGGACTCGAACCCATAGCCTAAAAGGGTGCTACTTACCCACTAAACATTGGACGTCGGATAGGCGTGCAGATCATGTCTATATTAGGTCCGTCAGTCCATGACCAATTCTGGACATCTATACAACGTCCAAACTAGGTCCACAATTTGAACGTCCATCCATGACCCAACTTGCACGTCAATATGACATTCAACATTTGAACGTAATTTTTTTGACGTTATTTGGACGACTACGACAGGTGCAGGAAATATAGTTTTATTTACAAATATCAACATTGTTGTTATCAACATAATAAATGGAATACAGATGATTATTTCGAAACAAACATGATTTATTATGTTAATGCGTACGTATTTTATGTGCATTTGCGCTGATATGACAATAAATTATATCGTGCATTGTTTTTTATGTTCGTTCTGAAAACCATGTGAAAACTGAGTAGTGCAGAGCAGCTGTAACAGTTTTATCCACGTCCCTCGCGGACACTTTTGTGCACGTGCAGAACGCGGGATTTCAAAATCTGGCAGCAGCTTGATGCCCGGTCGAACAAATTAACATCCAGCTTGCTAAACCAGGTTAATGCTAAATTATGTTTTTTACTTTAGCTCTGTACTGCTCTGTTGTATACACTGTAGCACCGGCGGGGCTCATGTCCCAGCATGCCCCGCGTGCAGTTGTAAATAGCCATTGTTGTGTTGTTGCTGTTATTGTTAATTAATAGGTAATTCCTTATTGTTGCGCATGTGTTTACATGTGTCTTGTGTGTACCCGGTCTGATCCTCGTGTGTAATTAGCTTACATAAATGTCCCACCGTGGATGCGTCTTACAGTTCGTCGTCTGACTACTTTGTGTTTCTTACATATAATTATCTTTGGTGCTTTTTGGGTGCCTGATGTAATCCTTGTACGGATTATTAATTGAGTGGATGATCCCCGACAGAGTAATCTCCGTGTTTCTCTGCTCGCGATACCTCCATCTGCCCGTCGCAGCAATACGTTATTTAAATTTAAGTTTTAATTGAAAGCATGGTGAAATTGTTCATTTATATATGAATTTAGTTGAGACACGACATATACAATGTCTAAAATTAGTCTGCTTTTGGTATTATAAGACGTCCACAACGACCACATTTGGACTATAAATAGCCCATACATGGAGGTCCCACGGCCGTCAATACTAGACGTTCATTAGACGTCAAAAAAAGACGTCGCCTGGCGTTACAAAACAACCCCTTCAGTGGACCAAAATTGGACGTCCAAAAACGACATATTAAAGATGTCATTCCGACGTCACTATGCGCAGTGGGTACACTCGGACACGGAAATGGTGAAAAATCTGCACATTATAATACATGCCTTTGTGTGCATAAACCGGTACACGTATTACCGTTTTCTAACAGACAGCAATTTTTAACAAAAGTTTTCGGTTGTTCAATGGCTTTTTAAACAACTAATTAATGCTGAGATGTGTCTATACGGATCGAAATCACTCTGCGGTACAACAGAAACTAAAGCGACTCTGATAGAAATAAAATGGAAATTTCCGGTTCGTTTTGATCATTCTATGAGTTTTGAGTGTATATGGGACAGATGTTGATTTTAAAGAATATGTTATGATATTTGAGATAGGCTACTACAAATGTTTTACAGTAGCCTCTTGCTCCTGCAAAAATGTTTAATTACGATTACTGTCCGCATTATAGTTTATTATCGGTGAGATAAAAGTTTTGGCAAAGTTTCAGATACAGTGAGTAAAGTGAGTAAAGTGGGAAGTGTTGGGTGCGGGCGCTCGGCGCGCGGAAGGGTGGGGCATTTTGTCAACGAGGGGGGCAGCTGAAAGCTGCGGGCAGACAGTCCCAGCGAAGGGGCGCTTTTCAAATTTGGGAAACGGAGTAACATATGGACTTTACATATTTTTAAAATATTGAACGGCGTTTGTCCGTAAGAGGACAGTTGGATGAAGTGCGGGGGCTACGTCAGGTAGGCTCTGTGTATCTTTATTTGTAACTAGTATTAACTTAATACCTGTGTAAGCATAGAAAAATATCGCTGTACGATCAACTGATATCTAACTACATCTAAAGCACAAAAATTATATCGAATACGTAGAAGATGCACAAGTAATTCTTTCAAGTGTTTGTTTAGCGCAGCAGCAAAATTTGTCCAAAGTTTTCCAGACTGTTCTGTGAGTAATTCTCTGATTTTCACTATTTGCTGTGTTTATTTTCCCTCTTGTAACTTTCAGATTGTTATTTAATCCGTCCTTCATCTTGTACAATGAATATGGTGTGGGGTTGCTTTTAAAAATCACCCAGGTGGTGGAAATCAGACGGTCACCTAGATGTAGAATGAGGAGCTTGATCTCCCGAAAAGGTGACCTTAATGTCTCTGTACTTTAACATTATTCGGAACATAATAAGAAACTGTAGATTTGTCCATATTTCTTTTCCGAGAAGTACTGTAGAATAGCCTAGTAGAGATTAGTTTCATATCACCTGGAGTAGGGGAGCGAGTAATCGAGAAAGAGATAAAGTATTCATTGGTTTGTTTTAAGTGGTGAAGTAACGACCAAGCACAGAGCCTTATTAGATTGAAACTAGTTACTATATGAAGTTGCATATATTTTTCTTTGTGGCAGAGTGGTGACATATGTGGGTTTATCTATCTATCTATCTATCTATCTATCTATCTATCTATCTATCTATCTATCTATCTATCTATCTAAAGATCAGTATTTTCATTTAGTATCTTGTCCAGTTAGCCTAGCTGTAGGCATCATTAATTAATGGAAACTTTTTTTTTTTTACCTTCGGGTTATGAACCAAGAACATGAAAAATAGCCCGTCTGCCCTGGCTATAAATATGTATACTCATGTTCTAGCTATTTCTCAGGCTTTACCCTCAGCCAAACCTCATCCTAAATAGTACAGAAGTATGTTGACACATTACAACAACAGCGTGACTGAACATATGTTTATGCGGTTCATTCAATCATTTCCCTAGAATTCTGGTAAATTCATAGCTTGTTGTTAATTACTTTAGACTTCAACATGCAGTCTTTAATATCAGCCTTAGTGATCATTTTTTTGTGGAGCAGATGCTCTCATCCACATACGCACACATTTTCCTCGTTTAGCCGTCAGAATTCTGTGTCACGCGTCAGAATGATACACCGGTGAGTGCTACAGGCAGCTGGTTTGTGACCAGCAGTCCGTGCGGATCTTTTGCTGTTAATGGCACGGAGGACTGTGACAAGAATGCAAAGTGAAAATGCACAGGGCCTCCCGGGCAGCCTGCTGCTGCTGTGTCCCGTTAATTAATGTCCTCCCAGACGCTTACTTTTTAAATGTAGTGGACCTGGACAAAGAGGTCTTTTGTCTCTTATGGTGAATAATCATGCCGATGATAAATGTTACCAACCAGGGGTGATGGCAACAATAAAAGTAATTATAATATTTGTGTCAAATATACATTTATATGTGACAGACAAAGAAATTCTAATCAGCGTTCTGCTCATTGGCTCCTTGCAGGCTATTAGTAGCTTAAAGCTGACACATCGGGGAGAGACATAATTAATAGAACAGAAATTCTAATAAATATCTAATAAATAGCTCCTTGGAAAGGAAATGATGTTGTTTTCAAGGCTGCATTAGTAATATACAACTCTGGTCAAAATTAAGAGACTGTTCTATATTTAAAAAAATATCTACATTTTTAAATCCTGGTTTAATCCTGGTTTAATCCTGGTTTAATCCTGGTTTAATCCTGGTTCTGCTGGTGGAAGGTTACACTGCGAGGCAGGCTGCTTCCAGGCTTAAGACAGCAGTACAGGAGAACAAGGTGAAGCAGGAGACACTGGCAATAACCAAAAACCAGCCAGGTAGAGGGCAGAAGCAACTTTCTAATGCCAGAGATGACCGTCAACTTATCCGGCAGTGCCTCATAAATCGGAGGATGACCTCAAGTGACCTTCAAAAGCAATGGGAAACAGTGCAGATGTAAAGTGCACTGCTAGGACAGTTCATATCAGGCTCCTAGAAGCAGGACTGTAGACCCTTAAACCAAGGAAGAAGCCCTTCATTACAGAGAAGAACTAGGCTGCAGTTTGCAAAAAATGCATTTTTTTCCCCACAGATTTCCATATATTCCCATAATTTGAGGGATTTGTGAAAGTAAACATGTTTCTGCGGTCTCTTAATTTTTTCCAGAGCTGTATATGTGGAGTATATATTTTGTACTGCTTTCTCTGGACACAAATGTGGTTTTTTAGTACAAGGACTCGTAAGGTTAAAATCCTGAGAAGTGTTTGGGTACAGTATACTCAGGCGGGGGCTTGTCCCATGTTAGTCCAGCACTATATCCTCCTCATGAATGCATGGGTGGAAATCGAGTAAAACTCTAAGCTAAGTGAATGAGAAGTAAAGGGGAGACAGTGTTACTTATTCTGTGTGTAGTTAATGAGTCATGAAGGATTTCATCATTTCCGCTGTGTATGTACCTTTGCATCATACTGTTATCATTTGGCCCAGTTTCTGTTGTGTTACACTCACGCAAAACATATTCAACTTATAGTGATTAAATTCATGTAGTGTTTCAGCCTGAGGAAAAATTGTTTGTCTGTCTGTCTATCTATCTATCTATCTGAATTAATGTCCTGGCTGGATGTTATTTTCTGGTTTGTGTTTCGTTCATCCTTATACTGATAGGCATTAAACTCTAAGACTGTCAATTCTAGTCTTCATGGTCACTAGTTAGACATTTTACAATTAGCATAACCTCTTAACTATTTAACCAAATAAAATTATATTGATTGAGTTATTGGAATTTTCTGCTCCTTAAAATGTGTATTGTATTAGAGTTGAAGCTTTCACATCACTCAGGCCCAGTGTACAGTATGGAAAAAACTTCTTGATAATGGAAGAGGGGATGTGGAAGACAGTAATCGGGTTCTGCTAATCCAGCTGTTGGAGGCGGGGGCTCATCCAGCACGTGTTTCCTGTGCTTCAACAGCTGTCAGGGTCCTGTTGACGGTCTGTTAGCATGGGGCTAAGATGGAAGTAGATGGGAGCCAAAAACTGTGCTGAGTATTGCGTTGATAATTTTTTATATCATACAGAAGTGGTGTTAACCAGGTACGAACAGCCAGAACTATTCAGGCTGAGGACAGATCGGAGGCAGAGTATATAGCCGCCATGAGGGAGGTGTGAGTCCTGACTGCTCAGCAGTTCTTTCTTTATTTAGACAAACAAAAGAAGCCCAAAGCGGCACTTAGGTCCTGAAACACAAGAGCAAAGGAGAACATTTAGAGTAATGAAGTAACTCGTTGAGTAATCCCTCAAGTGTCGTTTTGGTACTCTAAGCCCAAATGGAAACTTGTACCGCATATGAACTCATTGTAAGAACAACACATCTCGTATAATAGAAGGTCAAGATAATTCTGTAGCTAGTTACATCATCACTATTCAGGTCAATCTTTTTGAGTATGTACAGCTGTTTAAAGGAACTCACTTAGCATGTGGTTTAGTGGGCCAAGCCGCTGTGAATGTGATTGGAAGGTCGGCAGTTTCAGCCCAGCCTCTGCACATCTGTGGGTCTTTCAGCAAGGCCCTTAAGCTCCAGCTCCCTACGTGCTGCTATGGGTGGCTGGAGAATTTCCCCTCAGGGATCAATAAAGTATGATCACTTCATTTCATTTCAAACCTGGGAACACAGACACAGAAGATATTGATTTGTCTATAATATCCAACATCGCCTTTGCAATAACAGACCGAAATTCCTGCATTAATTATCTTTGTAGGTATGAGATCCAATGAACAAACTTATAATTAATGTAACCAATTCACTAAAGTGACTAAAATGTACAAAAGTGACCCAAATCTGCTGATTGCTGCAAGAACCTGGCACTGTACCTTGGATTGTGGGTGTATTTTGCATGCTGTATAATTCTTAGTTTGGAAAATATATTAATCACAGGCAAGATTTATCCTTACTACTCTCAGTTGGGTTGGAGAACTGTGTTGACCCAGCTATAAAGAATACTTCGGCAGACTGGGTTGCAGTTTTGGAGAAACTTACTCAGTCTTGGATTGTGTGCATTATGCTGGGGCTGCTGTTATACTAAATGGTTTTCTGTTTTAGGAGAGCTGGAATATTCACTGTGGTGCTTGTAGGCATCTGAAATTCCAAGGTGAAGAAGATTTTGGGGTAATTTTTTTTTCTGTCCCTCGTGAAGTTCTGTTGTAGCAAGACCATTATCCAAAAGAATAATATTGTGCAGGAGTATATAAATATTGTGAACAGGAACATTTGACTCAGTAGTTCTCTGTCCTATTTCTGCTGCCCTCTCCCCCTCACCAGAATGTTTTCATTCCAACCCACTCTGCTTTCAACCTGCCACATTCATTATTAGCCTATTAAGGACAATATAAGCCTGATTAACTTAGGGTTGGAAAGAAAATATTCTGGCAGGGGGGGCAGGGGGGCACCAGGAACAGGACTGAGAACCACTGTTTGAACGGGTAGGTTCCGAGCTTGTCATAACCCTGCACTGGGTAAATGGTTATGGATGGATGGATTTGCTGCTCATAAAACCTGCGTGACAACAAGACTGGAGCAGGTACAACAGCAGCGTGGTTTTAATGGCCTAGTAATACTTTGACAAGGAACAAGTACAGTCTATAGAATTAAAACCCACTCGATAATTCATGTAGGCTTCCAGCCATTTGTTGAAGGAGTCTATTGACTATACTTATCCTTGAGTCATGGTTGACAATTTATTAATTACATAGAAGCTAAATATTATGAAGAAAATTGTAAAAAGCCACTTTTCTTTTGAAGGCATTCCAGCTACAGTCAGTCCTGCTACAGTTTGGCTAATGTGGTCCTGAAAAACCTTGCGTTCACTAAAATTGCTTAATAAAATACACATATCCAATGGGAAAAATAGGATTGGGGAATGCAACTCCAAAGCTTAGTAACTTGAATAACAAAGATAGTGATTCCAGTGGGCAATAATGTAATTATATGCATTTCATATAAGAAATAATAATAATACATAAATAAATGATATCATAAACATCTTCTAGGGATCAGATGAGTCTCATGAGAATTGCTTAGTAACTGCTTCAACCAAATTTGCTAACTTGTCAATTACCGAGTGTCGGGAGTAGCGATGGCCAAAAGGACACTTCATGAACCATTTGCTGTATTTCCTGACCCCACTAGATGGTGCTCTTGCTTTGCTTTGAGGCATGGTTTGAACCCTTTTTTCGAACAGAGAGCACCATCTAGTGGGGTCAGGAAATACAGCAATTTTTTTTTTTTCATTTTTGCAATTACTAGTTGAACTACAACCACCATTCCGCTGGGTATGCACACAGCACAAGCACAACAGATTACAGTATGCGGAAGGACACTGAAGGCAACATGGCTACAAACAGTCTGGTAAAAGCATATGTAAGTGAATTAAAAATGTTGCTGTGTTTTTATATGATAATTTCTCATATATTTTTAGATTTTTAGAATTTAAGACTTTGACCTGTGCAATGCATGAACGTACAAAAGGTTAGATTCTTCTAGATTTGAAAACTGGTTTGTCCCATTCACTGGCAAGAACCATTTCAAGGCCCTGTTCAAGAGAACGATTCATTCATGAATCAGACATCAGCGTCTTTCATTTGGATAGCTGTTTTTGCGTATAAGTAGTGTTTCTCACTAAGACCATGTCGCTTTGTAGTTCGCGTAGTGATTTTCTCCTTCACAAATACAAATGCTATTCTCCATTGTATCAGACTTGGGTACTAATATATCAATTGCGCTAGTTTCATGGATATGGGCTGACTGTATTTATAAAACTTACATTATGATCGATTGATGTGCACCATTTAGACAATCAGTGGTTCAGTGATGCTATTCTAATGTAGATGTGTTTTTTAAAAAACCTTTTAAAATTGTTTAAACAAAACTAATATCTCCATGACTAACATATCCAGTGATCCCAACTGGCTGTCAAAAATTCAACTTTTAGGCAGTGCCTTAAAAATTTAATTTGTCTGTCTTTGCAATGGACCCAGATCACGAATCAGCCAGCATTGTGCATTTTAGACCAAGTGTCATGGTGCCCCTTTAAGCTTAGAGGTTTGATGCTTTCTGTTGTTGGGGAAAACTTGTCATTCTTTGATGGAGTCTTGATGAATCTTGATGGTACAAATGCTGAGCTAAAGCCTTATTCAAGCTGCTGGGCAAATTTTACTATTGCAACTATAAAACTGATCTACAACAAACTAAAAAGAGAAAAAAATCGGATCAGGCCAGGTTCACCCATCTTCCCTCACACAAAGCTCATTTGCCATAGGTGATAATGATGATTCTTTCCTACAGGGATCCTTCAAATCATCAGAATGACCAGGGGAACACTGCCATTCCTGGAGGCGAATCTCTTGTGTGTTTCTCCTGCTTCCTGAGTGGAGATGGTTTACAGGGCTTTGCTTTGGGTGATGTGTATTCACACTTTTGTGGCCTCTGGTCCACCGAGATGTCCCTCCACGTCCCCCCAGGTCGTGGACTTCTCCATCAGGTATGTCCTGCCCCATTTCCAGGCAGAGGGCTCCATACAGAACATCGTGATTAATTCCCAGTTCCATGAGATTTATGTTGCCTCTCGGAATGTGATCGAGGCCGTAAATGTGAGCCTGGGTAAATTATGGGAGCTTCCAACTGGTCCCGTGGGAAGCCCACAGTGCAGAGTTTGCTCCCTGTGCGACATGGAGCGAGATCCGAGTCAGCTGGAGGATACGGACAATCAGGTCTTGCTGTTGGACATGTTTTACATGATTTTGTATACGTGTGGGAGCTCTCAGTACGGCGTCTGCTATTTACATGAACTTATCAAGAACAAGCGCCCTGCTATTTCCAAGTGTATGTTTAAGAAAGAGTCCAACTCCCCCTCCCACTGTCCAGACTGTGTTGCCAGTCCCCTCGGCACAAAAGTCACCATGGTGGAGGAGGGACAGACGGTGTATTTCTTTGTGGCTGCGACCGTCGACCGCAATGTGACACAGAGTTATGGCAAACAGTCCATATCTGTACGCCGGCCACTAGCGACAGAGGATGGCTTCTACAGTGACATGCAGGGGCTGACGGTTCTGCCAGATCTTCGCTCCACCTATCCCATTCGATACGTCTACAGCTTCTTCACGCAGGAGTTTGTGTACTTCCTATCCGTGCAGCGTGAGAGTCCCTTCCAGGAGGGCTCGCCGCTGCAGACCCGGCTGGCGCGGCTGCCTCGTACCGAGTGGGAGGTGAAGCGTTACCGCGAGCTCGTGCTGGAATGCCGCTTCGAGCCCAAGCGGCGGCGCAAACGAGGCAGCGACGAGGTCTTCCGGGACGTGGTGTACAACGTGTTGCTGGCGGCCCACTTCGGAAAGGCCGGCAAAGAGCTGGCTGACGAACTCGGCACCGAGGAGGAGGACGACATCTTGTATGGGGTGTTTGCCGTGACCAGTGAGTCCGGGGAGTCTGAGCATGACTCCGCCCTCTGCGCCTTCCCTATGGATAACGTCAACATCGCCATCGACAAGGGAGTGGACGCATGCTGCACGTCCGGCCCCGAGCAGCTGTCCAGGGGCCTCTGCTACTTCCAGTCCTGTGAGAACTGCCCACACGAGGTGAGTCATCATGGCCTACTCCTCCCAAGGCTGCAGGAATCCACTTTTTCTCCAGTTGGTCGATGTCCTCCATAAACACTGAACACTATTCTTGTGTTTCTATTCTGGGATTCTGGCCATAATGTGCAATGCAAAATCACTGAAGTGAAATGTGCATGATAACTATAGTATGCTATATATACACTGTAATACCTAAATTCACTTACACAGCTTTTACACACAGTAAAGGCACACAACAAAGAGGAAGAGTATAGGGACACATATCTCCTATACCTTGAACCTGCTGAGCCATTCTAAGGTAATGACATCCGATCTAATGAGACAAGAAAAAATGTTGTAGCTCCCACACTAGTGGTCAAAATTGTGGAAACACTTCCACTTTTTAGAGATTGCAGAACTTTCTTAACCTGTTGCTCCAGTTAATCCTTCCATGTATACTATTTGTAACATTCTTTGATTGTTTATAAACATTACCGCCAGTATTTGTGTAGTAAGTTTTAAAGCGCAATGCCAAAAACGCTAGCTTTTTCCATAATTTTGGCCACTAGTGTACCTGCAATAAACAGAATTAACTCATCCTGAAGAGTTAATAAAAAAGAGATCCAAACACTAGGAAGTTCTACATGCAAACTAGGCTGCAAGTGAAAATTCTGGAACAGTCTGGAACAGCTGATTGCTGCGGAGTTTAGTTACACAAAAGAGTATGAGTAGCAGCATTCCAGAGGAAGGTAGAGGCAGGATATAACGTCGAAGGGATCTGATTCAAAGTCTTGTTTACTGTTTCTTGGTCTAAAGTCCATGTTGTCATGGAATCCACTTTTGTTATTGCTCTGTGTGTGGAGTTTGCATGTTCTCTGCATGCATAACTGTTTGTCTTCTGCGTACTCCGCAGTCCAAAAGCTTGTGGTTAAGTAATTGGCTCTGAATTGCCAGTAGAGTGTGAATGTGTTCCGTGCAATGGACTGGCATCCCGTCCAAGGTGTACCACTGCCTTGTGAGCTACGGGGCCTGGGATAGGTTTAGGGTTGGGCCGATCCCCATTTTTTTTTTATTCCGATCCAATTCTGATACACAACTGCCGTTATCGATACAGATTCCGATACAAGAGCTCTTTTTACTTTTAATATTTTAATATAATAAATGTATATATAATATAAATATTTATACTTTATATATAATTTATAGCTTTAAAAACTAGTAAATATAAATAAATGTACAGTCATGCCCAAAAGTTTACATTCACCTGAGTGAATACATTCAACTTCCATTTATGTATCATTTATTGTTTAATATTCAACATTCAATGCATTCCTAAATAATGTCAACCAATCTCTTTTATTTCCATGACTGATTTCAACAGCTCTTTCATTTTCAATGGTTTTATTCAAAGTTCAGTTAATGAAGCTACAAAACTAATAGGTCAAAAGTTTACATACACCAGGGTGATCTGGTGCTTTTTTCTGTTTGCAACAGTGTGGATTATCCCCAAATGGTTTTCATGTGTGTCCTATTGGTTCTTGATTGCAATTAATTTGTAATGGTTCAGGTGGTGCAACCAGGGCTGTATAAAGGACCAGAGTTACCTGCTAATGCCCCATTTCTACTTGATCCAACATGGGGATAGGAAAAGAACACTCTGAAGACCTAAGAACAACAATAATACGATTGCAGAAGTCGGGAAACTCCCTAGGTGCCATAGCCAGACAACTAGGAGTACCTAGGTCATCCGTCCAGACAACTGTACAGAGATATCGAAAGTTTGGGACAGTTAAGACCCTTAAAAGATCAGGCTGGAAGTCTAAATTGACGCCAACCAATGAGAGGGCATTGGTTCGAAAGGTCTGCTTCAATCCCAAGATGACAAAGAAACAAGTATGCCAAGACTGAAGGATTCAGGAATCAGTGTCTCACTGTCCACAGTCCAGAGGGTCCTACATCGTAATGGGCTAAGGGGCTGCAGGGCACGAAGAAAGCCCCTTCTTCAAGAACGCCACCTTAAGGCGAGGCTGGAATATGCAAGAAAGCACAAGGATAAAGATAAAGGTTTCTGGGCACGTGTTCTCTGATCTGATGAAAAGAAGATGGAACTTTTTGGCTCTAATGACCAACAGTATGTTTGGTGACAAAAAGGAGAGGCTCTCAACCCAAAGAACATAGTGCCCACTGTGAAGCATAATGGTGGCAGCATCATGCTATGGGGCTGTTTTGCTGCTAGTGGTCCAGGGGCACTATGTAAGACAGATGGCACCATGAAGAAGGAGGATTACCTGAACATACTTCAGGGGAACCTGAAGCAGTCTGCTCGAAAGTTGGGCCTTGGACCTCGTTGGACCTTTCAACAAGACAAGGACCCAAAGCATACATCCAAGTTGGTCACAGGATGGCTTCAGCAGACCAAAGTCGATGTTTTGGAACGGCCAGCTCAAAGCCCGGATTTAAATCCTATAGAGAATTTGTGGAATGAACTTAAGAAAAAAGTTCACAAAAGGAAACCCACCAATTTGAATGTACAACTTCTGTCAAGAGGAATGGGTAAGAATCCCATCTGAGTAGGTAACCGATGGTTATCCTGCTAGACTGACTGCAGTTCTAAAAGCTAATGTAATGTGGCAATGTAACAAAGTATTAGACAATATGAGGTTGGGGTGTACTGTATGTAAACTGTAGACCTACTAGTTCTGTAACTTCAATATTTGCATTGTAAATAAAACCATTGAATGTGGAAAAAGTTGCTGTAATCATTCATGGAAATAAAGAAGATTGGTTGAAATTATTGTAGGAATGCACTGAATGATGAATATTAAACAGGAGATTATATTGAAATGGAAGTTGAGTGTATTATGCTGCAGTGTATATAAACTTTTGGGTATGACTGTATGCCTAAACATTTTAAATTAGACTACTGGTAACATGCATCACACACTGTTCCACCTCGTTTGTACATCTTATTTTATTTGAGGCATTTTGAAGTTCAATTGAAATATCTTCCAAGCGAGGATACTGCAAGTGGCCAATCGGTTGAACTAAGATCCTCAGAGAAAAGCAATGTGGCTGTTTTAGCTGTACTCTGCAGTAGAAGGTCTTGTCACTAACTTCAGAAATGAGCAGATAACCGATTCCTGTGACCAAGCCATTTTATCATTATTCAGTCTCTTAACTTTCCTCGTAATGTGAATATGTAGGAGAAAAGCTATTTTGTCTCTCCATTTTATAGGATGTGTGTAACTATATCACAGTTGTGCTATTATTTGATAGTTCTACATATTGTTATTTTAAATTTGTATTATTGATAGCCACATTGGCATTAAAGTTGTCTTTGCTAGCAGAGAGTGAAGCAGCCTGAGTTTAAAGTAACATTCCAAATGTAGTTGATGCAAATTCAGCCAGATGGCAGAAGAGCACAACATGCCGGATCTGTTTTACAATTCCTGAAACCCTGAGTTTCTGTCTCCTATATCTCTCATATTCTTATATTTCAGAAGTGACTTTTTGCCACTTTCGCTGACGGTAGTTCATTTGGTTTTTGGTCTCATGTTCCTTGCTTTTCATACTATACCTTTTCCTTTATCTATTCAAATTGTAAATAGTTTCACTGTCTGTTTCTGAGATGTGTGGTTCGGTGCAGTGAAAATTTGAGCTTGGTTCAAAATATTGTTTTGTTTGATTTTTTTTGTGATAAGAGTATGGAGAACAGCGCCTTCTGCAGGGACCAGCCCACCATGGTGTCCAAGCCCTACTACAGGGTGGACCTCTTCAACAGACAGATGCGGAGTGTCCTGCTCACCTCCCTGCTGGTGACCACTATAGAGGACCAAACGGTGGCTCACATCGGGACGTCGGAGGGGCGACTCCTGCAGGTTTCATGCTTATGTTTATGCGTTTTCTTACAAGGCTGAATAAGGGTCAATTTCTCCACGGGCCACAGAGCTCTAACTCCCACTTTTATAACTTGCACTCACTGACACAGGTGTTTTTAAGTTTAATGCAGTTTTAGTTTGGCAGCTTGATTTAGATTTGGATGCTCACCTATCAGGTCAGATTTCACATGGAAAAGGAGGAGATAGATTATGCATGTTTCATACAGATGTGTATGTGACTACATCGGCAGCTTATCCAGCTTACCCAAACAAAGCATTGGGTACAAGAAAGGGCTGTTTGAGGCTGCACCTGCTCAACTACATAACACAACTCTACCAATCAGCTCTACTGCAGAACCATTTTGCACAACTCTAGCACAGAACAATACCACACAGCTCTACCACATAATCGATTACTGAAATGTTTTGCAGGTCATCTTGAGACGATCCAGTCCTGTCATCTTCGCTAATTACTCCCTAGTGGAAAACCAAAGTGTTTCCCCGATTGCTGCTGTCTATTCTTCTGAAGATCTGCTCTTTGTGGTTGGAAACAAGGTATAAATCTTTCAGTAAATAAGTTGATTGGTGAGAGCATAATGACAAACATCCCTCATCATTTGTGCTGATATTTCTTTTCAGATTAGTAACTATGTTCTCTTTTCCCCACAATGAACATTTTTTCTCCTGGGATGCTTCCTGTCCTGAAGATGATCCGAGTACCCCAGAGAGGACCAGGCTGTCGCCATTTCTTGACCTGCAGCATGTGCCTGAAAGCTCCGGGCTTTATGGGGTGTGGCTGGTGTTCGGGACAGTGCTCCTGGGAGGCTGAGTGCACCGCCACCTGGAGGAAGGAGTCCTGTCCTCCTGTCATCAGCGAGGTGAGTCATCGGCTTGGGAAGCCCTGTCCTTATTTACTGCTCTTCCAAGGCCTCGTTCATCAGCAGCCTTCTGCAAACTTCAGCACCAACCATTAATTCATCCTTCAGATAGGTTCTTATTTCACAGTGCCCTACAAGTTGCTTTTGCAAATGGCTGCTGATGTGAAAATAAATAAAAAACAAAACAAAGAGAACTTGTCCTCCACACTTTCCTGCTTGTCTCATGCTATTTTCATCAAGCCTCCCTTTCATTCTCCTTCAGAAGCAGTTCACTTAACTGTCCTGTATTGGTTTATGTCATTCTCATCGCTCTACTAAATGGATTAATGAGTAGTAGTAGTAGTAGTAGTAGTAGTGGTTTTGGATGAATGCCTTGTATGATTTTTGCTAAACTTGAAGGATCTAAGTCATCTTCTTAGTTTTCTTAAGTACAGATTGATGAATGGTGTGTTTTGCACAGGTAGATGTTACATAGTAAAACCTAGTGTGTCTTCTCCGTCTTTGGTGCAGTTCTTCCCAAAGTCAGCACCCCCTGATGGCAATACAGAGCTCACTCTGTGTGGCTGGGAGTTCCAGTCTCCTCTGCGACCCCCCATTAATCGAAGGACTCACATGGTTAAAGTGGGACAGAATAACTGTGCTGTCCAGCCAGAGAAAAGCAACAGCAGACGGTGAGTACAGCAGCTGTTCAATGAGAGTTAGGAGCTACTGGCAGGGCAACTTCCAGATTACAAGTATTGGCGGAAGTAACACTGCCACACTCTGGTGGGCAGAGGAAATTACACCCCCACACAACAAATAACACTCAGAAGATGTACACTTGGACTCCGAAGATGTTACACACACTGTGAGGTTATAAGTTGTATTGGATATGTGTTTTTTGGTGATGCATTTTTGGGGTGTTTTTATGCTCTGTAGATTGGTGTGTAGGATTCAGTCTGGAGTTACTGAGCTGTTCCAGCCCGTTGCCATCACGGTTCAAGTATACGAAGGGAAGGTAGAAGGACTTTATTCCATCAACGGAGAAGCAGTGATGGAAGGATTCAGCTTTGTGGTAATGTTAGTTGTTGGCTTTGAGCTCAGTCTAGGCCATTTGTGACTCCAGCATGGTATGAACTGATATGCTTAAATGGCTGAAGTATACGCTAGTGACAGCCAAATGAAGCTTCATGAACCGTTTCCTGTATTTTTTGACACCACTAGATGGCACTCTTGATTTGCTTTGGGGCATGAATTGAGCCATTTTTTAAATAGAGAGCACCATCTAGTGGTGTCAGAAAATTCAGCAAATGGTTCATGAGGCTTCATTTGTCCATCACTAGTATACACTGTATTAACTACTTTGACCCTTCCCCATGCCAACTGACAGGTGCCTGAGATCACAAACATCCTGCCAGACTATGGTCCTCGCGATGGGGGTACCCCTGTCACGGTGACTGGGAATCACCTGTATACTGGAAGGACCAGAAGAGTCAGTCTGGGTGATGAAGACTGCCCATTAATAAAGTGAGGATTCATAGTCATGGCCTTCTGTCCTCCATTATTAATGACCCTTATCTACTCTGATTCTCAGTCATCTGTTGCCTATACCTCAGTGTTACTCATGGCATTCCATTCATCTCATTTTCTGTTACCCATAATCCCCTCTTATTTGTGACCTGAAGTGCAACATAGTAATACATGTGACTAAATAGCAGTGACATCTGCAACTGGCATGTGTTCAAGCTCAGAGTTTGTCATACAGTACCTCTTTATAATTCCTATCTGAACATCTTGTAAGGTCTCAAGGAGAAGCCAAGGGATCCGTGTCTACAATAGTCTGCCTCTCCAAGAGGGTGACACGGGTACAGGACACGATCCTGAGGGTATATATTGATGAATCGCCAGTACGCACAACCCGAGGTTTCCACTACAAAGAGACACCAGAGATCACAGAGGTACTTCCACTCTGCAGCTTTGACAGGTATGAATCGGTTTTTGGCATCCATCATGAATGTCCCTGTTCAGCCCCTGTCTCCACATCACGATGTCGTTGTGTGATTATTGTTCATGTATGTGTGCTTTGCATGTTCTGCACCATGCTCCTCAAAGGGGACTTGATATATGACTGCTGAAGATCCATTGGGTTGTTTTGGGAGTAAATGAGTTTACACCCCACACCTGTATGTTAATGTTTAATTCCAGAGGTTCTCAAATTACCATCAAGGGTCAGAATCTCGATTCTGTCTACAAGACTGTTATCTGGTTTAGACCCAGAGAGACCCACTTAAAGCCTGTCTTTAAGGTACGTTTGCATGCTTTTGTTTTCTGTAGTGCTAGTAAATCTGATCCTGAACCGACCCCTGACCTGCTGTCATGTGACTGGAATTCCTAGAGATTAACATTTTTGTATGCTTGACAATCATAAATGACTCATATATAGCAATAATTACTAATAATAGTTGAATAGATGTATCTTTTGTTTTTTGATATTGAGGTTAAATGTAATTTCTGTGAGGCAAGACAGATCATATCTTCAGGTTTTAAAGACCGTTTTCTGATCCTGGATCAGTGATTTGGGGGTGGGGAGCAGGAGACCCAGCTGACCAGGCTATTCCCTGATGCTCCAGGAGTGCATTAGCGGGGCAAACAAGACACTGATTGTCTGCCGGGCTCCTCCCTTCCACCGAGATGAGTCAGAAGAGGGAGTGATCTCCTTCGACATGGATGGTGCCTTGGGACTTTGGAACAAGGAGTTCTCGTACCACCCTTATGCAGAGCCCATCCCGTTTGAGAATGAAGGCAACATCCTGAGACTGGCCTCTGGCGAGGATGAGGTCTCACTGCATGTGGGTGAAAACCTTGGCCTTTTTTAGATAGAGGCTTCATGTACCTTTCGGGCTGAGCTGTATGAGCAAATGTGTGCTATTCTTACTGCTCTGGATGCTGTATCCTAACAGACGCACATCTATTATCTGTATTCATCCATCCATCCATCTCCTAACTACTTACCCTAATCATAGGGGATATTATCAGTTTGATTTGTTAATCTAATTTAAATCACCCGGATTTGCAGCACAAGCGGTTGAACCTGGTAAGCTCCTGCATGAAGATCACCATGTCTGTGGGAGGAGTCGATTGCAATGCCCAAGTGCTGGATAATGAAATCACCTGCAGGATCCCTAAAAACCTGACGTTCCCCAGCGAAGGGTTACCAGTACGGGTAAGGCACACGTGCTTTCTGGAGTCTTGGAGCTTCAGCCAAAGCTCAAAAACATTCTAATGTGTTCTACACACAATTCACTGATAATGAGTGACTCCAGATACTTACCAATTGGAATGAGTTATCGGGTGTCTCATTTGGCAGATTTCTGTGAATGGACAGGTCCTGGACATGGGCCGTGTGGTGAAGGTCAGTAACCACTCCATGGTGGGTGTCGTGCTGGGTATCCTCTGCGCGCTCGTCATTGGAGCTGTGCTGGCATTTCTCATCATGAAGCACCTGAGGAGGAAGAAGAAAAAAGGCAAGTCTTTCCACATGAGTCTGAGCCAGACTTCCACTCTTGAAATGAATTGCTGAAATGCGTATCCATTTTCCAGTCTCCACGCTGGAGAGCCACCTGTCCCATTACTCAAGTGGCCAGAACCAAATGGGCAGCAATGTGGACATGTCTACTGCGGGTGACTACAGACAAGGTGAGACCCGCTAGTTGCCAATCTGATAATTAATGACTCAGTTAATCACTCAATCATATCAGTTTAATAGTGACTTTACATTTCATTCTATTTAATTACTGTATATCCTTAGGCCAATTTTTTTTTCCTAAACATCAACTAAGAAGAATGAATATTTTATTTAATCAATAAGCTTCAGCTTATGGTTTTAAAGTTTGATTTTTAATGGAACTTGATGACTTCCCTTGGATTTAAACTCGCAAGTGCTACACGTACAGTTGTTTAATTGCTTCAAAACCACCACAGACCCTGAATGAAATGGGGTTTACTATAAAGCAAAACAAATGCAAAGATGCTGCCGTTTTAGCTTATGTTGGGGCCCTGATATGCTCTTCCTGGCTTTAGAGTGGTCCATCCCCGGCAGTCTGAGCTCAGGGTCAGCACTGGCGTTCCCTGCTTTGCCCTATGCTGCCAATATCGAGAGCCCACTGGCACCTCTCCTGCCCCCGGAGAAGATCTCCCTCTCCAGCTTCAGACCGAAGCTGCTGGAGGAGGTGAAGGACGTTCTCATCCCTGCCGAGATGCTCAATGTCCATCTTCATCGGATCATCGGAAAAGGTGAGATTCAACCGCCTACATGGAGACTTGGCTCTGTCCTAGGACATCAACGGATCCTTCACAGATGTCTTCCATTTATTTGAAATAAATGGATCATCTAAGAGGGTTCTTTTAATTGAGGCACAATAATGGACACATAGGCCTGTAAATGTTCTATTTCAGGTCACTTTGGAACAGTATACCACGGCTATCTCACTGACCAGAGCAATAGAGAGATCCACTGTGCAGTGAAGTCGTTAAACAGTGAGTAATAGTAGGACTCTTGTCTCGAGTTTTTAGTAAATGGCTATTTTGGGCTTGGTTTCTCATGTGAACTGTCTTATTACAATGGGTTAATGCACTTTAATAATGCAAGTTTCTAGAGTAAATAGAGTAATAAGGCAAATTAAAATAATATAATTATATAGTATATTTTTTCCATTTTATTAGACTATGCTTTGCTTTGGCTTTTATGCGACCAGTTTGTTGTAGTGTTGTAAAGAGGTTCAAAGATGCTGAAATTTAATATATATTAGGTCCCTCCCAGCTCACCCAGTACCAGCTATTTGTTTGTCTTAATTGTTTGGTTCAAGTGCAATGGAAGTTGGGACAGAGCAAAAATGTAGACTGTCTGGGGGTCCTCTAGGACTGAAAAACACCTTAGTGTATACTCTGCCATGTAGTAATGTTGTAAAGGTGTTGAATTTATGTTGTGTCGGTGTTTGCCCAACATTGTGCTAGAGACATGCTAATGTTGAACCAGCGCGGTCCCCTTATTGATGGAACGCTTCTTCATGGTGTATCCGTGGCCTTGGGTGCTTCAGGGATCACTGACGTGGAAGAGGTAGAGCAGTTCCTGCGAGAAGGCATCCTAATGAAGGAGTTCCACCACAGCAACGTGCTGTCGCTCCTGGGCATCCTGCTCCCTCCGGGTGGCTTACCTCTGGTGGTGCTGCCTTACATGAAGCACGGCGACCTGCGTCACTTCATCCGCTGCGAAAACAGGGTGAGCCCCCCAGTACCGAGACCAGCCCCTGCAGCCCTGAGCCGTTCGTGGTAATATCTCTGCTTCAGCGACGAGTAATACAAGAAATGTGTGGAATTATCAATATTATTGCTGCTATTTATTCAGCACCGCTACCCTTAGCAAACACAGCAGCATAACTGGGTTTCTCAGAACATTGTGTTTGTTTTTTATCAGTCTTCCTGGCTGAACAAAGTGGACCAGCAATGCTGGCAGAGGACTTGCTGAGGTTTCATATTGAATGTGGATTATTTTTCTTAATAACTCAGTAGATGAAGAGCTATTTTTGGTTCCTGACTAATCAGATACTGCTGAATTACTTTATCTACCCATCTTGCATGACCACTTATCCAGTCAAGCAGTGATTCCAAATCCGGTCCACAAAGCTCCCTGTCAATTCACATTTTTGCAAAAAATGTGGACTTTCTGTGGGTCCCCAAGGACCAGATGGTAGTAAAGGGTCACAGTGAGTCTGCAGCCAATCCCAACGACACCAGTTCAGCTTAACTCATGGTTTTTGACTGTGGGAAGAAACACTTTGAATAGTCAGTATCTCTACACACAGAGCCAGGGGCAGGATTTGACCCCACAACCTTGGAAGTATACAGTCAGTGCTACTCATAAAGCTGCTTGGAATTGTACCCCTTTATTTACCTTAAAGATGGTATTGTCACTCTGATTTTCATGTATAGATCAGTATGTTTTTTTTTACACTGAAGAATAAATGGTAGCTGACTGCATTTGCAGAATAGCTGTGCATTTTGCTGTCCATCATTAAGATTTTTCCATGATCTTTAATTTTTAATTATAGTAATCATACACTCAAAGCTCTATTGTACTTGTTAATTTAAAGCCCAGAATATGATTATGAGCAACTTTCATTCTTTTTTGTGGTTGTGAAACTTTTGAAGCTTTTCCTTATTCATTCCCCTCATAAAGGAATTTGTTTTTTGGGGGGTGCATCCCTTCATTCTTGGGCTTGGTTGGGGGTTTGGTTCTGGCCCCTAGCTCTGTGTGTATAACATTTGTGAGTTCTCCTTGTGCATGCCTACAGGTGAATTAGTGCCCCTAAAATTTCCCGTAGTGTGTGAGCGGCTTAGCATCCCATGCTTGGTATCTCCTGCCATGCCTGGTATCTCCTGCCATGCTTGGTATCTCCTGCCATGTGCTTCCTAGCAGAGCCTCTAGATTCAGCAAAACCCTGCACCAGATGAGTGATTATGGGAGATCAGTGGATGAACTGTAAAGGCATGATAAACATGGAGAATTTCGCTTGTCACATAGTCTGACCTTATTATTACCTCCTGCTATTAGTCTTTTGTTCTGTTTGATCTTTGCTCGCTTTTTGCAGTCAGAAACTTTACACGTTGCAGTTCCCATTAGTGGTTTTTAAAAGAGTGTGTTCAGCACGTGTTTTGTGATATTGCAGACTGGTTCCATCAGCAGGTTCTTCAAATTCAATTCACTCAAACGTTGCTCTTCTCTACTCCTCTCAGAATCCCACAGTGAAAGATCTAATTGGCTTCGGGGTCCAGGTTGCCAAGGGGATGGAGTACTTGGCTCAGAAGAAATTTGTGCACAGGGACCTGGCAGCTCGCAATTGCATGTGAGTCACAGTGTATATCACAGTCCGTTACCAAGGCCTCGCTTCACAGCCAGAATACCGGGAACAGCAGAACGATCGAAGCCAAGGTCCAACTTGTAGTGGCCGTTCAATACATATACAAACAGACGGCTTCATCACTGTTGGGCTGGTCTATTTGGCAGGTTGGATGAGTCGTACACTGTGAAGGTGGCCGACTTTGGCATGGCACGGGATGTCTTTGATAAGGAGTATTACAGTATCCAGGACCACCGGAAAGCAAAGCTGCCTGTCAAGTGGATGGCCATCGAAAGCCTGCAGACACAGAAGTTCACCACCAAGTCAGACGTGGTCAGTTCAACACACATATTCTCTGAATGAATTCCTTTTTAATGCTTTACATTTATGCATGTTTTGCACATTTATCCCTAACCTAATTTCCCCAACATGGTTAAAATTAAACTCTGTATGTGTGTATGTGGATTAGGTTATGGCCAAATGTTCCCCACAATGTAATAAAAACCTGTTATTTTAACCACAAAGGTCTGTGAATGCAATCAAAAAGCTCAAAATGCTCTTGTATTTAGTTTGGTTACTTCAATGTTATGGCTGGGTAGGGGTTATCACATTGGGATTAGAGTTTTCCCCATAATTTTATATATATAAAAAAGAGGTTGATGGTATACACTGACATCATTTCCTCTAGTTTCAGTGCTGTTTTTGCCCCACAGTGGTCCTTTGGAGTCTTAATGTGGGAGATGCTGACCAGAGGAGCAAGTCCTTATCCAGAGGTAGATCCCTATGACATCACACATTACCTGCTGAAGGGGAGGAGACTACCCCAGCCACAATACTGTCCCGATCCCTTGTAAGTCATCCATTCTTCCTTCTCGTTACCCAGATCCAGTCATTCATGCTTGCCTCTTCAGCTACCTGAAATAAGATTTTAAAAAATCAGTGCAGTAAGATTTCGTACATTTAGAGTCTCCATGGATACGGTGGTGATGCTGTCACTGGTGGAACACAAAGGCTGTATGTTTCTGGATATGCAGGTTTACCATCATGCTGCAGTGCTGGGACCCTGATCCAGACCTCAGACCCACCTTTGCCTGCCTTGTCTCAGAGATACTGGACATCCTTTCTAACCTGGAGGGTGAGCACTACATCAGCCTTAACGTGACCTATGTTAATCTGGACCAACCACGCCCCTACCCGGCACTCACCGAGTCCGCTGATGAGTCTGATCCTTCTGACCCGGAGCACGCAGATGCAAACTGCCTTTAATGGCACGGGATAGGAGGTGGGGGGGGTCAGATGGCAGTTTTCAGCGGATATGAGTTGCTGTTGCCCGGTGTGGTGGGACAGTCATGAAGACGACTGAAAGCTCCGCGTCACACACTGTCTCCGGGGAGATTTCTCTGTCTAACGAGAGGACAATCTGCAGTCTTTATAACCAGCCTTCAGCACGGAAGGAAATGCACTGCATATGTCTGAGGCCTTGTGACAGTTTTGTCGAGGCGGCTGTCTGCAAGCCTCTCAGCTACATTGTTTGGAGAAGCTCCATTAAGACGCACACGGCCTGGGTGTTTTCCTCTTTGTGAGAAAGACAAACCGGAAGGCAAGCAACACATTTCTTAGTACAGTCAGAATAATGTCTTATCTGGATATCTATATATACACAGTAGACAGAGGCAGCCATGCATAACTATAATCATATATGTTACCTTAATGATAAATGTACAGTAGACAGCCATAGAGATGTAAGTACAATCAGATGAATACCTCACTTTAAAATATATATATATATATACTTGCCTATTCAGATTGTATATTTTGGATCGTAAATTTGAGAATAATTGAGTTTTATATTTTAAAAATACAAAGTTATATTTGTCTACTGTGTTTGTCACTTATTTTAATAATAGATATGACTGAATTTATTACTTGTTTTTATGGCCTATTAATAATAAAATGCTGCTGTTTTCTGATTTATGCTAGCTAGCTATAAGCAGTAGACACAGGCAAACCTCACTGCAGCCATATGGTGTCATGCGATGTCAGCGATCAGCTGGAAGAGGAACACTTCAGTTCACTTATGATCTCATCGGCTCAGTCGTCTCATACGCTCATGCTCAAGCAGGTCACATTCCTTGCTAGTGTGCCGATGAAGGGCATGTGACACTCGTTTCCTCCACCAGGTGTCAGAATAACATGAGATTACACCTTCACTAGTAGTGCATTAAATCACGAAAAATGGACCCAGTCCCTACAGTAAATGTACAGCTGCTTCCTCAGACGCTAAAATACCAAGCTAATCCCCATTGCAATGTATTTCCACTTCATTAGAAAGAGAAAGTGGGGCAGATTTGGATGGAGGGGACACTTCTTCTTGGAGCCTTGCCATTATGAAGCAGGTCTAAGTTGTATTAATGACGTTAGACGGGTTCTAATCTTTCAAATTCCACTAATTAAGACCTGGCTCCAATCTCTGGATCTGTCACCTGTTCCTGAAAGCAAAAGGCCTCATAGGACTTGGCATGGTGCACGTTGCTGAAGAGTCATTTAAAAGGCCAACCCAGCATCTGTCACCGGGAGTGTTTTGTTTAAGGGCAACCAGAAGGGGGCTCTCTTCACAGTGCTAGTTTACCTTTTTCACATTTTCCCTGCTTCAGCTATTCACTGATCAGAAACTACAGTCTGAAATAATAATAAAAAAAAACAATAATCTCTTTACAATTCAGGCATTGAGGAAATCATGTTGATCACTGGCATTCAAAGATCTTTGTTTAAATGGTTTTCATTTAAAGAGAAATTTCATTCATAATTATCACTAGGTTTTATTAATCAACTAATGGTGTCCCCTGTGACTCTGAGCGCATCCGGGAGCAGACATGTAACCCATCCATCTACTGTAAGTCGCTTTGGCGATTAGCATCACACAAGTGAATGTAATGTAATGTAAATGTTGAGCAGTTGGAAGTTAGGTGGACAATCATCATTATATTAGAGAAAAATTAGACGCATGCATTAAAAGGTTTTTTTATTTCAATTTCAGCGCTCACATTTCTTATGGATCTCTGCCACAGAGAGTGTGGTAATTACTGTCCAGCTATACCTTTTGGTTTGTTTTTTCATCAACAGACAACCTAACTAGTGCAGACACATCTACATACAAGCACACACATATTAAGCTGCAGAACCGTTGTGTATTTCTATGAAGTGTCGATCGTTTGTCTCGTCTCATTTTCCTGTCGCTTTTCCTGGTGGAGAACGCAGTACCAGCATCCCGAACAGGTCAGGAAATGCTTCTTTCTCATTGGCCATTGACTTTAGCTCATTATGGGGTGTGCTTATACATTCCCAGGCCAGCTGGGAGATATAATCCCCCCCAGCTTGCCTGGGGTGTACCCCGGGGCTTCTGCCCTGCAGGACAAGCCTGGAACAGCACCCACGGGATTCGACCAGGTGACATCCTTATTAGATGCTTGGACCACCTCAGCAGATTCTTCTCAATCTGAAGCAGCTCTGTTTCAAGTTTCCACCCCCAAGCCCTGGATCTCCAAGCTCCTTACCCTGCCAGAGAGAGAGTCCTGCAACCTGTATGTATTTTGCATTTAATGCAATTCTGCGTCATTTAGTCAGTGTCAATGTAGTAAGTGGCAAATGAGTTGTTTTATAATTGTGTGTAATTCCTTTGCTATATAAATGAGAATGACAGACAACAACCTGCAAAAAGGGTCTTAATACTTTTGTACTAATTTTCTGAATTTCCTCATTGGGATCAATAAATATATATCTATTAAATGTAATCCACCAGAAACAAATGATTTACCAACAAGGGATGAAGATGCACGCTGCCAAAGTTCCTCACAAATTGTGATGTTAAGAAGTATTAATTCTTTTGTGTTGTCTTCCACTCTTAAATGTTCTGCTGTGTTTTCATGTGCCTTTCTGTACTAGAGGTACTGGAAATTTGTCATACAGGGCACTGGTGAACTCCAGGTTACATGCCTTGGGGTGAAGATGATCACACACATTTATGGATCTAGTGATTTTCAAGATTTTAAATAACATGTTGTCAATATATAGTTTTTAATGGATTTTGTCACAAACATTTATTTGACCATAAATCTGCCAAATGTAAAGAAATTTAATACAACGCAATATAGAGACACTTAAAGCGATATATTGTATACAGGGAAGATAAGAGGGCATTCATTATGTGTATGTGATTTCATTCCCAATGAAGTTTCTGGGTGGAACATTTTAGCTTCCCCTAAGCTGCTAATCCATTAACTGGAGAGCATAAAAACAACCCTTAAACTCTTTTTTCCCCCCATGAGCTGTTTACAGCCTTTCACCTTCACCTCTGTTTCCCAGCTGCTGCTTTCTTAATGAGGGACTAACAGCTTCCCCACATCCACATGCATCTAACAACTTAGTGTGAGTCTTGACTGGAGAATGTACAACATTGCTGTACGTTTCAGCTCTGAATTTCAGTTTTAGGTCTGAACTTTCCTAAATTGTGCTCAAAACTGACACAGCTTTCTCAAAAAATGTACATCACTTTGGATAAAGGCATCTGCTGAGTAATTAAAATGTAAATGTCAATCTGTAACCACCGCAGCAATTATACCGTTGGTCAGGTGTAGTACCTCATGTTACTCTAAAACAAGCAAGACAAACACGTTTCTGAGCTTATTAGCTTCTGAGTCAGGAGTAAAGGAATCTAAGAAATGTGTGCCGTCTGTGACAGAAATGGGATTCGTTTCTCTGTCTGCTACGTATGCTGGAAATGCACTTGGAATCTCTGTATGATGTGCGCTGGATACTGTACTTGGGTATTTCAAACTGAGTTACAGTTTATGCCTTCAGATGTTTCATCAGTGGGATAATGAACATACAAAATAGGTAATAGAAATAATTTCCTTACTGTGTAGTTCAGTCTGTTTCACATACGCTATTATGTGTCTATTGTATGTCTTTGCATAAATGTTGTGTGTCTGAAGTTCTTAAGAGATTTTATGAGACATTTTTATGAGGCCTCTGTGAATTCTGTAGTGTCTTTTTGCTTCAGCAATCTGTTATTCTCTTTATTAAGTTTTTGTAAGAGGGGTCTTTAATGTTCCTTTGAATATTACATGAACTCATTAATGTATGGGATGCTAATTACCAGAAACAATCTCAATGAATATTTAGGGATTAGCATTAAAATATTGAATAAAGTCTGTTTAATTTCTCACGCTGGAAGCCATTCATGCAATGCAGATAAAGATTGTTGTTTGCCCCAAAGGCTATTAAAACGTTTTTATTATAGGTTTTGTTCTAGCATATGCATGGTTTTTACCTATAAGGAGTTCAATAAGGGAGAGCGCAGAGAAATTCTGTCAGGTATATCGGAAGTAAAAGAGCACATTATATATTAACATAAGATTCAACCATTCCAATGGTGCTGTCATTTTTTAATTATCACAAAGCAGTATTTACCTCACATGGTTCATTGCAATTTTGTGTTTGTAAACTTATTACATAACTGCAGTATGCAATGGTTTCACTGCATCACCTTTCATGCTCAAACGAGGAAATTACAGCTGTTGTACATTGGACATATGAGAAGAAACAGTGTATGAGAAAAGACCAGAATGCTTGGGAAAGTTGAAGGTGAAACAGGTGAAACAGAAAGACAGCAAGAATCAAGGTGGGTGGATATGGCATTGGGAAGCATACAGATCCATACGGACGATGGACAGCCTAGAGGAATTCCGTCCCTATGGACTCGCCATGAGTTTACATTGACATTTAGGTAGGAGACCAGTGTCATATGTCTTTAATGTGGACTGGCAGCAAGTGGCAGTGTGGGATGTGGAGGAGAATGTAGGGAAACGTAATGGCACCGGAAAAGCAAGACGTGGGGCGGGACTCTCGCCAGATCACTCTTCAAGCACACAAATAAAGATTCGATAAATACTGTTCTCACAACTTCTCAGTATTCCTGACACATTTTCTTGGCTTTCCACTATTAATCTTTGATTTAATTGCAGCATGTACATCATATTATGGTAACTGAATATTCTGAGAACTCGATTCCACCCCACCTCCCCCCCCCCAAAAAAAAAACCCCAGAAAAAGTAGGAATGGATTCCACAGGCTATTTGTATTTCAAAAGATAAATATAAAAATAAATATATTACTAATCTCTCATGTAAAGATTGCACAAAAAAACACTATTTTCTCATTATAAATAATATCACATTTATTTTTGAAATTGATTCCTGGCATGCACAGCAACAGGAGTATAGATAAAATACACAAAATATATGAAGTTAAACAGTTCCAGTGTAGATGGGTGTGGGGGGTGGGTGTAATGTTTGGAGGGGCTGTTAGCGTGTGCAGCTTGGAGCCTAATTCCCTTTAAATAGGTTGCGCTAGGAATTAACACCAACCACACGAGAAACGAGTGGTAAGTCAGATTCTGAGCTTCATCTGACCAAGAATAGACAGACATACCTGAGGAGCACAGAAATGACTCACACATCCGCACACAGATGGAGAGAAGACTGAAGAATCACATCTCACAGCACACATACACAAGGATAACCAAAGCCTAGTTTATGTATTAATAATACTTCACAAACGTCAAAAATCCAGGTCCAATCTGACAGCATGGTCACGCGTCTTTTCTTAGCGTTTCACACTTTTCATGATCTTTAATGGAGACAGAACCAGTCTTTGTTTCACCAAGGTGACAGGGTGGGTGGACTGTCTTGTGGATTTAATGTAAACATAACAATGAAGCCAGACAGCTGTGCATTCCTATTGTTTATTCCTAATATTCTAACTTGAACTTATGGAGAAAAATTATGCAGAGGTAACTGTCCTTATCAGACTATTAAC